GGTCCATGCCGATCCAAAATGTTGGGTCTGATCTGGAACAGACTTGTAGAAAAGCTACTAAAAATGAATAACTTTCCAGCAGTGACAGTTACTGTGGGAACTTTGTCGTCAATAACTGTCGTAAACTTCGCCACTAAACGTCCTGGTAGTTTGTCTTAGAAACTTCGTTGAAGAAGCCTCCCAGTTCCAAGCCGTGTAAACACTGAACATAGTGTCTGCCTGTAGACAGCCGCCACATTTTGCAGGTTCAGCTCAGCCGCCGTGCACCGACTGACTCTAGTTTCCACTAGAAAGGTGCTGTACCAAACTGAATACAGCATTTTGTTAGCACAAGAACACAGAGTGTTGGTCCAGGAAAACTTCTAGGACAATCTAGAAATTGCACACCTGAACACTGAAGCTTTATTCATATGAACTGTTGTACCCCACCTGACCTGACCGGGTAGCAGGTCACGTCACGGATACTCAGAACGAAGAAGACCCGTGGCCACCTGCTGTCTGTGCCCTTCCTGTATTTCTCTCCCTTCAAACAACCCTGGTCACTGGACAAACTGCTTCTCTCCTCCTTTATTTCTGTAACAGTGCTCTTGCATTTCACAGTCTCTCTATGAACCCATCTCCTATTTTGCACATAGCGCCACTGTTTTGCTCTTTACTCCACCTTGTAATGTGACTTATGATCCCTCTTTCTTTATGAAAAGACAGGTTTTTTCATCACCTTTTATTCTTTCCCCTTGTCTTCGTCTTCCCTTGAGAAAATAAGCGTTTGTCCTGTTCCTTCTTCTCTCTCTCTCTCTCTCTACAAATCACCTGGTCCCTTTTCTTTGCCTTTCTCTGAGAAAAGATGAATTTTCTCTCCAACCCTTGTGCCAGGTATTTCCCTGCTTCTCCCATTCTCTGCCTACAAACCGCTCCTTCCTGTTCCCTCCCCTTCTTTGTGAGCTGTTCGCCTTCTATCTCTCTGTTCTCAGCGTGGAAACGAGGACAGATTGACTTTGAGATCTGACCCGGGCTAAGACTGGCTGTCAGCAGGTAATGATAGAGACTTAGAGAGTGACGCCTCTTCACAGAGAGGGATCACGCCTCGTCCTCCACTTAAAAAAAGCCTTTTAAAATTTAGATCCCTGTTGAGAGAACAGGCTATCCTTCTAAAATACACCTTGATCGATTCCCTAACCATCCAACTCCTGCAGCAGCAGGGGAACTGAACGCAGACACAGAAATAAATCCCACAAAAAAAAAAAAAAAAGGTGCAGAGAGTCATTTTCTCACCTGAAGATCTTCAGCTGTTGCTGTAAAACAGAGTTATGTTGTGGATTTTTATGTACTCAAGCTTAAATGTTTGCAAACAGAATGCAAAAAACAACATCACGGCCTGTGCTATCACAGGAACTGGAACCTTTCTGTTTGACCACAGGATGTACCCAGTTTTGGTTTGTGGTTCTCAGAAAGTCTGCAGGGTCGGGCCTGCTGGGGACCACTAAGCATGTCGGTAGAGTTCACAGTACACAGTGTGGTCGACTGGTTAAACACAAGCCTCATGGTAGATAGTGTCTCCAATCCCACACACGAATGAAGAAGAAATAAATAACCACGACCCCCTGAGCAGACAGACGCTCAGTCTCCTTTTCCACCTTTACATGTAATTATTACATCCATTTATACAGAACAGTTGAATGTTGGTGTTCCACCTCAAACAATGCCACTGTTTTCATTTTCCTAATCTTCGTGGTTCCCACATGTGGTGGGGGTGCAAACTTATGGAACTATTAGGCTGAGAAGTTACTGGGAATATTTGACGTGCACAGTGTCCGTGGTTCAAGGTTGGCCGGTCTTCCCCTCTGCCTCTATCTCCCTGTTTCCTGTCCGCCGCTCTGTGACTGATGAACAATGACAAAAATGCCACCTCCCCCCAAAAATATCCAGGTGGTACAAAGGCACAAAACTCAATGGAAGAATGAAAATGGAATTGAACTTTTTAAATTTACCATTCAAGTTCTCTGGAGCTCCGTGACAAGAGACAGGAGCAGAAAGAAGGGGATTTTTCTAATCAATAAATAATTAATAAAGAGGAGTGGCTGGTGGCGGTTTGGAAATCAGTCCCAGCTGTCAACACCAACAGCCAAGGTTTTCACAAAGAAGTCACCGACTGACTGCGAGGGGCCAAATGCACTGCTACAGCTGCACAACACTGCAGAGGTGAACTTGATCAGTGAGATGAGAACGATCTTCCACAGCTGCCAGCATTTAGCAAACCAAATCAACACGGAGACAAAAATACTTATTAAACCCTCTAATGTGGCTAAAGCAAACAAAAAAGCACAGAGCTTTCCCGTCTGTAACTGGTCAAAGCAAACCAGACCTGAAAGCCATCACTGCCACGACACCAACCAGATCTGTCACCTCCCAATTAGCTTCAGCACGTCCACTGAAAAAGTAGAGAATCATTAGGCTGCTGCTCTGAAATCAGCTTCCTCACAATCAGCAGCGAGTTCATAAAGCCACAGAATTAAACTGCCCCAAAGAAAGGCCGATTTCAGAACAATCTGACTGGGCTCAATTTGACGGGAGGATGGAGAGAGAAAAGAAGACATGGAGCACCTCCAGCGCCCCGCAGCCATCATTTCTGAAAGCCCCCTTTCAGAGAGGAAATTAATTTTGAAAGAGGAAGAATAAAACGAGCAGCCGAGGTGACTGAAGGTGCTGTATTAGACTACGGTCGACTAAAACCGAGTCATTTAAACCGCTGGCTGCCGGCTCGCCTCCCTGACCTCCTGTCCTCTCAGCAGACAGAGAGGAATAATCTCCCTCCATATTTCACTCCCTTTTTCATGTTTTACACATCCTAACCTCCCCCCTCCTCCTCATTCTGTCTGACCCCGCCGGGCCACCGTAGAGTCACTTCCTGATTGCCACTCTGGATGTTCAGGGCTCAGGAACTTTTGGAGAAGGTAATTGAAAAAGTTTCAGGGAGCTTCGTGTTTTTCTGGTGAGGTGTGTGACATGTTTTAGTTTCATCATGTGCTGTAACAGCAGTGAAGTCAGAGCTCAGTGCATCGGCCAAAAGCTCGAATTATAGTCGTGGAACAGATGTTCTCTCTGCATCTCATCACTCTCAGTACGCTGTAGACAGACAAGGTGTGTACACAGTCTGGTTTTTCACTGTCTTTGTTATGAGCTGACGTGTTGGATTCATCTAAAATCTAAACCAGTTCTAGGATAAACAGGAGCAGCTTTCAGATTAGTTGGTCTGTACGACCACCGAACCAGCTGACGCAGAATGAGGGGGACTTTCTGTGCCTGTCCGGCCACCGGGAGGCACGAAGGAGGACATTTGCAATTACACTTTTAGAGAGGTGCACGTCAGGCTACGGCGTAAGCTACGTGTTACCTACGTCGATGTGCAATGACACTTTTGGAGAGGTGCACGTCAGGCTACAGCGTAAGCTACGTGTTACCTACGTCGATTCAAAGCTGTCTCCAGAGTCCTTGCAAGAAAGTGTAAATTACTGCTCATGTGAAAATTAAGAGTAATTTCATAAAAGCTTTTATGGCCCATACAAAAGTAACAAGAGGCCACAGACTGAGGCTGCTGCTGTCGCCGGACCATCATGCACTGCCTGTGAAATGCTTCCTAGTACACACTGAAGTACACACTGAAGCCGCTCCGGACAAGCCATTGACAGCACAGCCCAGGCGCTGTGCTCCGTCACGGAGCTCCGTTTTGTTTTCCAGATGTTCAGCTCATGAACATCTGTCGTGGCTCACACTGCAAGTAGACTTTGTTCCAACTTATTGTGCATTGCTTTTTTAACCTTCACATTTATTCCATCTTCCATCATGGGAGGACCAGTGAACATCCCAAAACATCTGCAGCTGTAAACGCCTCAGAAGGCTTCAGATACGTTCAGACACCTC